TTAAACACTGTATTTTTTTCCTGATGATGATGTGTCTGTTGTTTAAACACTGTATTTTATTCCTGATGATGGTGTGTCTGTTGTTTAAACACTGTATCTTAGTCCTGATGATGGTGTGTCTGTTGTTTAAACACTGTATCTTAGTCCTGACGATGGTGTGTCTGTTTTGCTTAAACACTGTATCTTGGTCTCGATGATGGTGTGTCTGTTTTGCTTAAACACTGTATCTTAGTCCTGATGATGGTGTGTCTGTTGTTTAAACACTGTATCTTAGTCCTGATAATGGTGTGTCTGTTGTTTAAACACTGTATCTTAGTCCTGTTGATGGTGTGTCTGTTGTTTAAACACTGTATCTTAGTCCTGATGATGGTGTGTCTGTTGTTTAAACACTGTATCTTAGTCCTGATGATGGTGTGTCTGTTGTTTAAACACTGTATCTTAGTCCTGATGATGGTGTGTCTGTTGTTTAAACACTGTATCTTAGTCCTGATGATGGTGTGTCTGTTGTTTAAACGCTGTATCTTATTCCTGATGATGGTGTGTCTGTTTTGTTTAAACACTGTATCTTAGTCCTGATGATGGTGTGTCTGTTGTTTAAACACTGTATTTTATTCCTGATGACGGTGTGTCTGTTGATTTAACACTATATTTTATTCCTGATGATGGTGTGTCTGTTGTTTAAACACTGTATCTTAGTCCTGATGATGGTGTGTCTGTTTTGCTTAGAAAAGGTATCTTTGTCCTGATGATGGTGTGTCTGTTGTTTAAACACTGTATCTTAGTCCTGATGATGGTTTGTCTGTTTTGTTTAAACAATGTATCTTAGTCCTGATGATGGTGTGTCTGTTGTTTAAACACTGTATCTTAGTCCTGATGATGGTGTGTCTGTTGTTTAAACACTGTATGGTAGTCCTGATGATGGTGTGTCTGTTGTTTAAACACTGTATCTTAGTTCTGACGATGGTGTGTCTGTTGTTAAAACACTGTATCTTTGTCCTGACGATGGTGTGTCTGTTGTTTAAACAATGTATCTTAGTCCTGATGTCTGTTGTTTAAACACTGTATCTTAGTCCTGATGATGGTGTTTCTGTTGTTTAAACACTGTATCTTAGTCCTGATGATGGTGTGTCTGTTGTTTAAACACTGTATTTTATTCCTGATGACGGTGTGTCTGTTGATTTAACACTATATTTTATTCCTGATGATGGTGTGTCTGTTGTTTAAACACTGTATTTTAGTACTGATGATGATGTATCTGTTGTTTAAACACTGTATTTTATTCCTGATGATGGTGTGTCTGTTGTTTAAACACTGTATCTTATTCCACTGTATTTTATTCCTGATGATGGTGTGTCCGTTGTTTAAACAATGTATCTTATTCCTGATGATGGTGTGTCTGTTGTTTAAACACTGTATCTTAGTCCTGATGATGGTGTGTCTGTTTTGCTTAAACACTGTATCTTGGTCTCGATGATGGTGTGTCTGTTTTGCTTAAACACGGTATCTTAGTCCTGATGATGGTGTGTCTGTTGTTTATACACTGTATCTTAGTCCTGATAATGGTGTGTCTGTTTTTGAAACAATGTATCTTAGTCCTGATGATGGTGTGTCTGTTTTGTTTAAACACTGTATCTTATTCCTGATGATGGTGTGTCTGTTGTTTAAACACTGTATCTTAGTCCTGACGATGGTGTGTCTGTTTTGCTTAAACACTGTATCTTGGTCTCGATGATGGTGTGTCTGTTTTGCTTAAACACGGTATCTTAGTCCTGATGATGGTGTGTCTGTTGTTTAAACACTGTATCTTAGTCCTGATAATGGTGTGTCTGTTGTTGAAACAATGTATCTTAGTCCTGTTGATGGTGTGTCTGTTGTTTAAACACTGTATCTTAGTCCTGATGATGGTGTGTCTGTTGTTTAAACACTGTATCTTAGTCCTGATGATGGTGTGTCTGTTTTGTTTAAACACTGTATCTTGGTCCCGATGATGGTGTGTCTGTTTTGCTTAAACACTGTATCTTAGTCCTGACGATGGTGTGTCTGTTGTTTAAACACTGTATCTTGGTCCCGATGATGGTGTGTCTGTTTTTGAAACAATGTATCTTAGTCCTGATGATGGTGTGTCTGTTTTGTTTAAACAATGTATCTTATTCCTGATGATGGTGTGTCTGTTGTTTAAACACTGTATCTTAGTCCTGATGATGGTGTGTCTGTTGTTTAAACACTGTATCTTAGTCCTGACGATGGTGTGTCTGTTGTTTAAACACTGTATCTTAGTCCTGATGATGGTGTGTCTGTTGTTTAAACAATGTATCTTAGTCCTGATGATGGTGTGTCTGTTGTTTAAACACTGTATCTTAGTCCTGATGATGGTGTGTCTGTTGTTTAAACAATGTATCTTAGTTCTGATGATGGTGTGTCTGTTGTTTAAACACTGTATCGTAGTCCTTATGATGGTGTGTCTGTTGTTTAAACACTGTATCTTAGTCCTGACGATGGTGTGTCTGTTGTTTAAACACTGTATCGTAGTCCTTATGATGGTGTGTCTGTTGTTCAAACACTGTATCTTAGTCCTTATGATGGTGTGTCTGTTGTTTAAACACTGTATCTTAGTCCTGACGATGGTGTGTCTGTTGTTTAAACACTGTATCTTTGTCCTGATGATGGCGTGTTTGTTGTTTAAACACTGTATCTTAGTCCTGATGATGGTGTGTCTGTTGTTTAATCACAGTTTCTTTGTCTTGATGATGGTGTTTAAATTGTTTACACAGTCTGTCTTACTCCTGATGATGGCGTCCTAATAATATTTCCGTTATCACGTCTCTTGTATAAACAGTCTCTGATAGTTTTTCTGGTGGTAATAATTGCTTATATAGGCAAGATATGTTTTTATGTAATAGGGTATAAAGTAGGGGTGGTAGTGACAGTTTGTATCTGAAAACAGTCCCGGTGTTTATATAGATACTATAAAGTAGGGGTGGTAGTGATATTTTGTATCTGTTAACAGTCCTGGTGTTTATATAGATACTATAAAGTAGGGGTGGTAGTGATATTTTGTATCTGTTAACAGTCCTGGTGTTTATATAGATACTATAAAGTAGGGGTGGTAGTGCTATTTTGTATCTGTTAACATTCCTGGTGTTATAGGGTATAAAAAAACATTATCGGGATCCTTTTATACAAAGGTTTCAGACTCTTTTTAGAAAATACCTCTTTGTAATTAAAGTGATACACATTATGATAATCCACTGATGTCAATAACAGTAGTCCTAATTATCTTAAATAAATAGAAGTAGTCCTAATTATCTTAAATAAATAAAGGTAGTCCTAATTATCTTAAATAAATAGAAGTAGTCCTAATTATCTTAAATAAATAGAAGTAGTCCTAATTATCTTAAATAAATAAAGGTAGTCCTAATTATCTTAAATAAATAGAAGTAGTCCTAATTATCTTAAATAAATAGAAGTAGTCCTAATTATCTTAAATAAATAAAGGTAGTCCTAATTATCTTAAGGAAATAAAGGTAGTCCTAATTATCTTAAGTAGATAAAGGTAGTCCTAATTATCTTAAGGAAATAAAGGTAGTCCTAATTATCTTAAATAAATAAAGGTAGTCCTAATTATCTTAAGGAAATAAAGGTAGTCCTAATTATATTAAGTAGATAAAGGTAGTCCTAATTATCTTAAGCAAATAAAGGTAGTCCTAATTATCTTAAGTAAATAAAAGTAGTCCTAATTATCTGAAGTAAATACAGGTAGTCCTAATTATCTGAAGTAAATACAGGTAGTCCTAATTATCTTAAATAAATAGAAGTAGTCCTAATTATCTTAAATAAATAGAAGTAGTCCTAATTTTCTTAAGGAAATAAAGGTAGTCCTAATTATCTTAAGGAAATGAAGGTAGTCCTAATTATCTTAAGGAAATGAAGGTAGTCCTAATTATCTTAAGGAAATAAAGGTAGTCCTAATTATTTTAAGGAAATAAAGGTAGTCCTAATTATCTTAAGTCAATAAAGGTAGTCCTAATTATTTTTGATAAATAAAGGTAGTCCTAATTATCTGAAGTAAATACAGGTAGTCCTAATTATCTGACGTAAATAAATGTAAAACATTGTAACATTTGATAAAATAATTAAAGGTAATTTGCATTATGAATTATCTATAAAAGTCTACTAAAGGTAGCCACATTACCTTAAAGTCTACTAAAGGTAGCCACATTAGCTTAAACTCTACTAAAAGTAGCTACATTATCATAACGTCTACTAAAGGTAGCCACATTATCTTAACGTCAACTAAAGGTAGCCGCATTACCTTAAAGTCTACTAAAGGTATTCACATTATCTTAAAATCTAATAAAGGTAGCCACATTACCTTAAAGTCTACTAAAGGTAGCCACATTATCTTAAAGTCTTCTAAAGGTAGCCACATTATGTTAAAGTCTACTTAAAGTAGCCACAGTATCTTAAAGTCTACTTAAAGGTAGACACATTACCTTAAAGTCTACTAAAAGTAGCCACATTATCTTAAAGTCTACTAATTGTAGCAACATTATCTATAAACTACAATAAAGTAAATTGGTGTAGTCCATGGTATCAATCATTTATACCACAGGTACCTACATGTGTCCTACTTCATCAATAAACTACACGATATTCAAGAAATGTAGTTTATTTTATTGGTAAATACTAGTGTTACACTACCATTTATTGTTCTAATGTCTTTACTAATTGATATAGAATTTATATACACACGTATGTACAAAATGACTGGTTGACATCTTTATATGAAATTGTCACTTCAATACTTGTTAATATTACAAACAATGAAGGAAAAAAGAGCCATGTCGTTAAAATTATATCAATCCATTTCCTGAAATTATTTCAATATCTTAAATATATATACTATTACAGAATGAGAAATAAAACGTAAATAAATAAAATCATTTACAATCATGAAAGCTATGTCAAAAATATTACAATATTGTCTTCACTTTCAGAAAATGTCGAGGTCAAAGATTCTAAACAGTGACAAGGAGATAAACGCATTTCGCTTCAATTTGAAGGAACAGCGATGTCTTCAGAAAAACTTAAGCATCCTTGACGCAGAAGCACTGTATTCCCTCAAACTTATAGATCTTGATAACAGAGGGATCCGAGTGTTTTACAAGCGTTTCAAGGACAAAGTATCACGTATCAAATCTCACCTTAATGCCGAGGACCTGGCCGCCATGCAGGATTTAGAAGCAAGAGGGAAAATGCCAAACATCAACAAAAACATGAACAGCAGTGGAGCTCTGAGGATAGCAGACGCTGAGAAACGTTTGAAAATTCAAAGTACAGATAATACCCGAAAGGCCAAAAGTGCAAATCCTCTGATGAGACAGAACACACGAAACAGTGTTGAGTCTCTGGTACCACATGACAGAGGGTACCAGAGGCCGAACACAACCAGTGGAGCCAGCGATAGAAGTTTGTCATCGTCTTTAAACTTGCGACAAGATGCATCTAAGCACGGTTCTGTCGGTAAGAGCTACACTAGATCGGATAATAGGTTTAGAACGATGAAATTCGTAACAAATGGTGTTATATACTAAGCTATGTTTTTGTAAAATTGGTGACGGTTGTTTGCCACTTTTGATACAATTTTTCCACTATTTGATGATTATAAATCATAACTCTAAATGCAATTCAATAGTCATAGTACACGATGTATTTTCGTTTGTTGTAATTCAAATTTTCTCTAATTTCTGCTATATTGAAAGTTGCTTTACTTAGTATTGAGATTATAGAAAGCCCACACGAGAAGCAAAAATATCTCATCAAGGACGATATTCCCTGGGGGTTAGTAGTTAAACTAAAGTATTATTTTTATTAAAGTTTGAACGTTTTAAGAGATATATCAGGATGAAAATGAGTCCCCTACTACACAAACTATGACAATAAATATAACAAAGAAGTCAAAAATATTTAAAGGAAAAATGTTTTGAAGACCTATTTTCATTAAATGTGGAGGTCTGGTGAACGCCGTTGATACCAAATACTTATACAAATATTATGCAAGTATGGATGATCTATAGTTGAATACAGGAAAGATCCTCATCTTAACCTTGTAAATCGCCTTCTGTGCTAAAATTGACGATGTGAATTGCAGTCATTGTTCTCCTCTTACAGGTGTATTGCTCGACACTGTTGAATTGCCAAGAGGAACGCCACGTAGTAAACCTTCTTATGGAAGACAAATATCAAAGCCGGGACAGTTCAGTCATCGTTCTTTGGATCTGGATACTGCCAATAGTAATAATGTTAAAAGTCCAAAAAGCCCGAGAAGTCCTCGGAGTCCTCGAAGTCCTGCATTAGCCGGATCCCCTACTAAGCCACCATCTATCCTTGTTAACTCTGTCAAAAGTATAATGACGAAAATTCGAGAATCAAAAAACTGCACTTCATCAGAAGATGTCAATGATCCCAAACAAAATAGTCCTAAAAAAATGCATGTTCGCATAGACACAGACGCAGTGTCCGTCTGTCCTGATCCCTCAGCACAGGAAGCTGGAAATTCATCAAATGACTCGAACTGTCTTGCTGTTCCTAGATTAGGTGACAGGAAACCTCACCTGCTAGGGAAACCATTACAGAATAACCTCGCGGAAAGTCAGGACGATGCCATTGTGTCTTTAGATAAGGATGGCAAGCCCAAGAGGACAGATAAAGGGGACGAAGGATACGATATAGGGCCGGACCGGCTAAGTCTAAGCCGAGTGTCTAACGTGACACGATATAGCAGTGCTTCCGCTGGCCAATTCTCTTGTCACTCGATACAGGACAGAGACAGCACAGCTCCATCCAGATTGGACATCTTTGCTGGCAGTGACGATAAAATCGGAGAATACCTAGGCGAAGACCCATATGAGGAGAGGCGTCAGAAGTTAATATCTGGTGAACAAGAACGGATACAGGACATTCTAGATCAAAAGGAATTGTTTTTGGAAAGACTCGACTTGTATATTAGGGAGATGGAGAAGAAGAATCGACAGATGTCAGTAATTGCTCCGAGCATGGATATACCTGACAGTGTCCTCCGACAGACACGTAGGGAAGCCGGAGAGCGGGCAAAGGCATCAAGACTAAATAAAATGAGGCAGGGAATGCACAGGTCTTCAATATCAGAAGAGGAGAGAAAGCGCCGTGCCCAAGAGATGTGGAAAGATGTAAATAAGTGTAGGTACCTTAGAGTACCTTCAGACAGAATAGACCTTTCTGGGATTGTGACACTGGCTACTGAACAAATGAAACTACTGGGCGCAATGCGAAATATTGAGGAATTATAATTAGTGGCAGTTTTCATGTAATTTACATTATCTCGCACATCCTCTGACCTGATTTCGAACTTAACGAATGCAATTCCTCCTGCTTGAGAAACACAATCAAAGTATTCAAAACATTTTAATAATAATTGTTTTTAACCTTCATAGATGTTTTTCATATGTGTACGACGAAACATGACAGCTAATTACTTGTCTGCGATATCCTCTCTGTTAATTTTTTTATGATTGTTCTATCTGTAAGTCAGATGTTCATCAAATGTACACAATAAAATGCCAAAACACTATTTACCTTTCTCAGCTGTGTATGTCTTTGAATTAACAGTTAAGTCCTGATAAACAAGTTCGCCTTCTCTTACCCTAAACTTTGTTTATTTTACAACAATTGCGAAAAAAGCTATCAGTTTATAATGTTCACACTTGTTTGCCCGCATGGAAAGCGCTAGGGGTTTTACTGAGGGACGAAACCGTAGTACCTGGGGAAAACTCATGTCCGTTTTGGAAATTGAACCCCTGACGGCTAGGTGAAAAGCGAGTGCTTTACCGCTGCGCCACCCGACCAACCTTCAATTGATCAATATTAATTGTTTAAATGGAGATAACGTCACCATAACACACACAAATGGTCGTCAAGAAAATGTGGTTTCGCTCCACTATGTGGTTTTGGTAACCTGTACGCCATATTTTAATTTATTCGAATAGTAACACGATTTAGAATATACACATATAATGTACTTTGTCCTAATATTATCTGATATCTGAAAATTACGAAATCTGTTTAATTATGGTGCCAGTACACCTCCCCGACTACATTTTGACTTTTCTATCGATCACTTGTGGTATATTACAAAATGTCAAAGTTTGACAGTAATGATGGTGGGAAGAAAGAAGCACGTTTGTATGGATAGTATCAGCAAATATACATATTAGAATGACGTCACAATTAATGTTATGCTCTAAATGCCACACTATAATTTAAACCTGTATAGCAACGCAATAATCTATCAATAGGTTCCTAGTCACATTTTAAATAATCCAAATGTTCGACCTCGCATAATTATAATGCTAATGTAATTAATAATTCTTTTTGAAATTGATATCTTGCATCCATTTTCAAAAAAAAAAGACTTGGAAATCGCCTTAATATCTGCATATTAATGAAAAATATCCCGACGAAACAGATACAAATAAAACTACATTAATGTTGGTAAAAAACATTAATCCATATACTATAAACAGAAATGTGTACATACTGAAACTTTTATAATTATCATCGTGTTTATAACACGTGTTATTTTCTATCAGCAATATACATTAAGGCCGGCTGTATATGTACGCTGGTGTGTACCTGACATTAATTTAGTAGAAAACACAACAGGACCTTCATTTTCACTCCAATATTGAGTTTATAGGAACTTAATCATACCATCTTCCTTTTATACCTCTCCCGAATTTATCTTCAAATAATACATGAACTCACAAAAGATCTGGTGTTTTGAATTGTCTGCTATAACATGTTTTGAAAACAGACAAAAAACAAAGCAAAACCCAAGAAAATACCCACATGTCAACATAGCCATAATCGAAACTCAAATTCAATAAAACTAGGGCAGAATATGAACAAAAGAAAGATTTACACGGAGACTCCTGACAAATTACAAGGTGAATAAGAGCAGATGTTGCGGAAGAGTAAGCGTCTTCTGCTTTATCGACGACACTAGCCATGTAGACTTTGGTCAATCCAAGTCAGCAATGTCACGTTCTCAAATGAGAACAAAGTATAAAAGAACGGGACAATCGGGACCAACGGGCAAAGTAATGAGCATCAAACACATCCACTTTCATATTGTACAGGAAAGAAGAATATTTCACATGGTCGCTGAGTGGCCAAAGGATGCTTAAATTGGCACCCCATCTTTTTTTTCTGGGTGAGGGTCTACAGCCTTCGATTTTACATTTACAAAATGAAGTTAGTATTTAGATATGTTCCTGGTGTAATAGGTTTGTGTGACAATCACAACCATCATTATTAGTGGATATTATCTATATACCTTATCATAAAACAGGCGATTAGACATTTATAATTGATTCTTGTAGCATTCATTCTATTATCATATATATCTCTATAATAACACAGACTGATTAAACGTTTTTAAATTCAAAATGTAGCTGAATTTTTTATTACAATGTTTAAATATATATCTAAAACCGATCAGTCTAGAAGTTGAATTTCGAAGAGATGTTTTTTGCCGAGAAATGTTTAATGATGCAATTTTACAAACATAAGTTTTTTTCATCGTTAACTGATTTGAAAACGTTTGGAATTTGAAGTTGTAAAATTTTCAAACTAAGAAAAAAAAAACGTTTATAGGTTATGCTACTATAGGAGGCAATGTTCTATTATCTAAAGGATATGTCTCCCAATTTCAACCTTTAAAGATTTACTAATAATTATGATAATTGTTAACCATTTATGATATATCTACTAAGAGACAATGTTTTAATATCTCTACATCATGATATAGTAGATATACATAATACGAAAGATAGTGGACATCTCCTGGTTATATATACATGATCAAGATATGACCAGCTACATGTAACAGTATTACTATACTGAAAGGATTACATGGCTATAGACGGTACACAAGACTTAACCTTGCAGTACAAACGAAAGGACAAGCTGTAATATACCTCAACATCTCACCCCTGGTATTAAAAGGTCCAGCGGGTATTTACTCAACAGTGACCAGAAAGTATTGGTCAAATCTTGAAATCAGAAAATGGCTTATAATGCGCCCTAGACAATAAACGCGTATACAATGCAGGCTAATCGGGATTATCTTTATTAGTGACCGAGAGTTAAAGTGAGTGTAATCGGATCAATCAGTACTGAATCTACAGGCGGGATATCTCGATCACGTTAAATGTCACTTGATTGATAAGATATCTCGATCACGTTAAATGTCACTTGATTGATAAGATATCTCGATCACGTTAAATGTGACTTGATTGATAAGATATCTCGATCACGTTAAATGTGACTTGATTGATAAGATATCTCGATCACGTTAAATGTGACTTGATTGATAAGGTATCTGATCACGTTAAATGTGACTTGATTGATAAGATATCTCGATCACGTTAAATGTGACTTGATTGATAAGATATCTCGATCACGTTAAATGTGACTTGATTGATAAGATATCTCGATCACGTTAAATGTGACTTGATTGATAAGATATCTCGATCACGTTAAATGTCACTTGATTGATAAGATATCTCGATCACGTTAAATGTGACTTGATTGATAAGATATCTCGATCACGTTAAATGTGACTTGATTGATAAGGTATCTCGATCACGTTAAATGTCACTTGATTGATAAGATATCTCGATCACGTTAAATGTGACTTGATTGATAAGGTATCTCGATCACGTTAAATGTGACTTGATTGATAAGATATCTCGATCACGTTAAATGTGACTTGATTGATAAGATATCTCGATCACGTTAAATGTGACTTGATTGATAAGATATCTCGATCACGTTAAATGTCACTTGATTGATAAGATATCTCGATCACGTTAAATGTGACTTGATTGATAAGGTATCTCGATCACGTTAAATGTGACTTGATTGATAAGATATCTCGATCACGTTAAATGTGACTTGATTGATAACATATCTCGATCACGTTAAATGTCACTTGAATGTGATGATATAACTCGATACGTTTAATGTGACTTGATTGATAAGGTATCTCGATCACGTTAAATGTGATTGATTGATAAGATATCTCGATCACGTTACACTTGATGTTCTTGTTATCACGTTGTAACTTGATTGATTGATGAAATGTGATGATAACATATATCGATACAGTTTACGTTAAATGTATAACTATATGTTATGTGATTGTTAAATGTGATGATATCTCATACGTTAAATGTTACTTGATTGATAAGATATAACTATATTATACACGTTAAATGTGACTTGATTGATAAGGTATGATTCTCGATCACGTTAAATGTGTATTATACACAGTTACCATGGTTCTTGTTAAATGTGATGATATAACATATATTATACACAGTTACCATGTTAAATGTTCATATATCTACACTGTTACAATTCTTGTTAAATGTGAATATATATTATAAACAGTTACCATGATATATATATTATACACTGTTACAAACGTTCTTGTTAAATGTGATGATATAACATATATTATAAACAGTTACCATGTTCTTATTATTGTTACCAGGTTCTTGTTAAATGTGATGATATAACATATATTATAAACAGTTACCATGGTTCTTGTTAAATGTGATGATATAACATATATTATAAACAGTTACTTGTTAAATGTGATTGATATAACATATATTATAAACAGTTACCATGGTTCTTGTTAAATGTGATGATATAACATATATTATAACTGTTACAGTTACATGTTCTTGTTAAATGTGATGATATAACATATATTATAAACAGTTACCATGGTTCTTGTTAAATGTGATGATATAACATATATTATAAACAGTTACCATGGTTCTTGTGATTAAATGTGATGATATAACATATATTATACACAGTTACATATATTATATAACATATATTACAGTTACTTGTTAAATGTGATGATATAACATATATTATACACTGTTACAGATTCTTGTTAAATGTGATGATATAACATATATTATACACAGTTACATGGTTCTTGTTAAATGTGATGATATAACATATATTATACACCGTTACCATGACGTTCTTGTTAAATGTGATGATATAACATATATAATACACTGTTACATACGTTATTGTTAAATTTTATATATAACATATATTATACACCGTTACAGACGTTCTTGTTAAATGTGAAGATATAACATATATCATACACTGTTACAGACGTTCTTGTTAAATGTGATGATATAACATATATTATAAACAGTTACCATGGTTAAATGTGATGATATAACATATATTA